TAAATTATGGTATATTTTTTGTAACCATCAAAGTACAAATTGAAAAGTTATAGCACTTAAAAATAAATATGAGATTTTATTTTTTGAATTACCTTAGCTTTGAATTAAACGTAAGATGAGTTCTAATCTACCTTTAATACTAATTAACGGAAGTATAGTTTATTTACTAAATTGGAAAGAAAATCTAAAATATTATAATGAAAGTTTGTTTAGAATATGACACATGACAAAACTTTCAATAATTGTATCTTTCAAATGTATTATTTATATATTTATATGTGTGTGTGTAATTATATGGTATGGATTCGCATGCAGGCTAGCTTTATTTATAGGAGAAGTTTTAGTTTTGATTGGAACTATTGAGCGATTAACAAAAAAATGTCCAAGCTCTAAATTATTCCACTTCGGAGGTTTTTTTTGGATTCTCCAATTTTTAACTGCCATGCTATACACCGTACGTGCTTTTGCCAACACAGTCGACTAACGGCGGTTCTGCTGCCCCTTCTTCAATTGAATTACCTTAGCTTCCTTCACGCTCAGTAATTATGGAATGCAGTGAGCAAAAGTCCAGATTTGGATCGATCTCCCAATTACGAACGTATGTTTGGGTTAACATGCTTAACATTGTTTCCTCTTTAATACTCCTATCCAAACATAAATTGTCCTAGAGGGTGCATGGAGACCCTAATATTTATTTGTATGTTTAACATTTTTTTTATTTGTATGTCTAATGTCACCCAAAATGTTTGCCGGCTAAAATAGACCAACTTATAGTTCATCTGTGGCTTTGTTCGGTATTGAGGCCGGTCTAAGAGGATCGTATTACTTGTTGGAGTTTATACATTTATACACTCGTGGCAGGTGTAACCTTGATTTAGGTGACTATGAGTTCAATTCGTTTAGTAACCTTGAATCAACTGAATTTATTTAAATTTTGGATCAATTAACAATGGAAGGTGGAGGTGAAAGTGATGATGGTGGGAGCTGAGGCGGATGAATATGTTTTTACTTGGATTGAAATTTAATTTGTTGATCTGGTCTACTTAAGTCTAATCTGATTTGGTCTGGTCTAGTCTGGTAATTGTCTAGTCTCTATGTATTTTGTAACTACGAAAGTTTGTTCTGGTCTGATCTGGTTTGATTTGATATGGTCTAATCTGGATTTTTTTTAATATTATAGAGAGGAGGAAGCTTGGAGTGTTTAGGGTTGATTTTAAATATTTATATGTAGGGAATTTTTGCATTTCAGTTGAATTTAGTCCCTCTTTAATTTTGTCCGAATTATAGTTGGGTTTCATGTTTGTCCAATCAAAGGGGTATTACTTTTTCCATTAATTGTTTCATTTGATCCCTCCACTTGTTCACATCATATCCACAGTTTCCTAAGAGCAGTTTGGCCTTCAATGAAGTGCTCTTGATTAACATATTGCCCACTTGCCCCCATTGAACATGAAATACATTTTTGTTTGAGGGATTATGTTTTTTTAACCCAGTGGTAAACCATCCTAAGATGGGGTAAGGGCTGAGGAACACCTTACCATTTTATTAATAGGCGAGGGAAGGAGAGGAAGTACAAAGTGGGGGGACTAGGCCAAAACCCACCGGAAAGACAATTAGATAACATGAGGGAAAGCAATAGCATCAAATTTTAGAATATTGCTGAATCTATTGGTTTCGACATCAACCCCCATACTAATTTCTTTGGCGGCGCAGTTGACCTTTTTGTGGACAAGACTAAGGATGATGTGGTTTTGATGCAAAAACCTACGAATGCATGAGATAGTGAAGATTTGATCCCAATGAGTGATGCATTCCATATTAATGGCTTTGAAGACTTGTGAGTTATCGATTTGAATATTGTTGTAGGAGATTCCCGAGTCCCTACAAAACATGAGATAGTCGTGGTAAGCCTCTAGAAAAGCTTTCACCACAGAGTTGGACAAAATACTACGGGTGTGATGGGCGGTCATTTGGCCCTTATGGTTGCGTACCAAAAACCCAAAGTTGTGGGAAAGGCCTTTTTGGGTATGTGCAATGTTAAGAGTTCTATGGTCGGCTCGAGGAGTTCCAAGAGACCACTTTCGGTCTGTTCTTAAGTGTCTTAGTAGGACTCTTAATATCATTGAGGGAAATAATTTCCTTTCTGATATTATAAATGGCCTCAGAATAATTAGGGGAAATATCATCATAAAGGGTGCTGTTTCTCAGCTTCCAGAGGTTCCAAAGAATGACAATGTAAGTAATAAAAGATTTGTGGTGTGTCCAATTAAGAATGGTATCCGTAAGGTTGCCTTCCAAATGATGACTCGGGACCTCAAAATAACTCCAAATAGGAGCGTGGGACTTACAACGCAAGAAGAAATGGTCAATAGAGTCATCATGGTTGCAATGAGGACACTTAAACGGGCCATGAAAACCCATTCTTTGGAGCGAGTCCGCACACACAATAAGATTGTTAACAATCCGCCATAGGAAGAAAGATATCTTTTTAGGGATAGGCTTCTTCCATAATAGGCCAAGATTATTGATTCTGGGTCGTTTTTTCCTAATTTCATCATAGCCTATCCTAAAAGTGAAGACACAAGTGATGGTTCGGGTCCAATGGATGTTGTCCGGTGTCTCATCGAAAGGTGGGCAAGTGTTCGTAAGGGAAACGCTAATAGCGTGAGGGAGGCCGCCAGTATGGATATGAATATTACCGTAGGCCTCACGAATGGAGATGGGGTTGTGTATGACGGTGGACAGTCTATTGAGCGGCCCGAAAGGGCTCCAATTGGACTCCCAAAACAGGCTGCTACCGTTATGCACCTCAATTCTAGTGTTAGCATTATAAAAATTATACACGGAGACCATCGATGGCCAAAAAATAGAAAGAGTGCAAGAGCGTAAAGAATTAAATATGGAAGCCCAAATGCTCTGGCCTTGATCTTTTTTCCACCAAAGTTTTAGAAAGAAACTTTCCTGGACATCCTGTAACCTGCGAAACCCCAAACCATTTTCGTTAAAGGGATAAGAGCATTTATTCCATGACCTCCATCTAAAAGAAGAAAGAGAATTATGATCCTTCTGCCAAAGGAATTTGTTGCAACGATTTTCGATGTCTTTTAGGACACCTTTTGGGACTTTAGAGGAGGCCATAGTATAAAGGGGAAAGGTAGCCAACACATGTTTGATCAATATAATTTTGCCAGCTTGGGAGAGAATTTTGTTCTTCCAGCTATTGAGCCGTTGATCAATCTTAATCACATGATGTGAGAAATAGATTTTTTTTGCTCTGCCTATGTAGATGTTCACCCCCAAGTACATGAAAGGAAAATTGCCTTTGTTCATTTTCGAAACATGTTTAATCATATTGTTTGTACCAGGGGGAGTTTTCGGGCCGGTAAAGAAAGAGCTTTTAGCAAAATTAATTTTTTGGCCAGAGCATTTTTCATAATGACCAAGAAGGTTAAAAAGCTTTTTTAAAGTAGCTTTATTACCATTGGAAAAAATGATAAGGTCGTCAACGTAAGCAAGGTGGGAGATTATAGGAAGTCCAATGTGAGAGTAATAGGTATGGGTGGACCGGTTCCGGTTCGGGGCCGGTTCGGTCCTGGGCCCAGCCGGGCCTCGATTCAGAAATGGGAGGCCCGGAACCGGCCCGGGTAATCCCGGGTCCGGGCCGGGCCGGGCCTCGGTTCTATTTTTTTTTTTGGCTTTTCCTAATATACCCCCAACCCTCCCCCCTCACCCCCAAATCACCCCAAACCACCTCAAATGGCCCAAAATACCAAACCCAACCCAAAAATTTAAAAAAAATTCAAAAAAAAAAATATTAATTTGGCCCGATGAACCGGGCCCGAACCGGCCGGGCCGGTTCGCCAATCAAAGGGCCCGGGCCCGAACCGCACAGTAACCGGGCTGGGCCGACCCGAACCACCCCCCGGACCAGTTCCCGGGCCGGGCCGGTTCAAACAGTAACCGGGCCGGTTCCGGGCCGCCCGGCCCGAGTCCATCCCTAGTAATAGGGTTTACCTCCTCCTTTAGTGAACAAGTGATTAATGTTCCTAGTCAGAACTTCGATAACAATAATGAAAAGGATGGGAGAGAGAGGGTCTCCTTGTTTTACCCCCGAGAGGGGTTGAAAAAACCATAGGGACAACCGTTAATTAAAATAGAGAACCAGGTCCCTTTTGTTTGCTTTGAGGGAAAAACATGATCTTTATTAAGTAAATCGAATCAAATTACAAAGGAACTAGCTTGGCCTAAGCCAGCCATAGAAAGCTGGCTCAACCTGCTACAAGTGAACTTTGCAAAAGAGTGAGCATGTAATATATTTATCCATACATGTATTTTTGTTAGAAAGCCAGCCATACATGTATTTTTGTTATCTCATGATACAATCCTATATTGAAAACACTGTCAAACTCATTTGAATACCTTTCACCTAGCTCTCTTGTTGCTGAATTAATACAATCTTTTCTTTTCGAACAAAAATTCAAATTTATGTAAAAAAATATACTCCCTCCGTTCTCCAATACTTGTCCCTAAAGGGTTTGACACAAGTTTTAAGAGAAAAATAATAGGGGTAATGTAAAAGATCTAGTAAGTTGTGTTTAAATGGAAAAATAAGAAATAGAATGAAAAAGTAGAAAAGAGAATGAGGGTAAATGAATATATTTATTGAAAAAACTTTCTAAAAATGGAAAAAGAGACAACTATTAAAGAACAATCCAAAATGGAAAGTGGAACAAGTATTGGAAAACGCAGGGAGTAAAATATAAACTAGTACGGAGTATAAACTTGCATTACTCCTCCTATGAGGTTACATTTTAAAATGAAACTTAAGTCTCAATGTGATATCATACTCCTGAGGAAGCGGTCCAGCCCAGCTGGTCGCCGACTCACTCTCCCTTACGGGAGCTCTCGAGTTCGAACTCAATGGAGCGAGTTTCAGCTCTGATTACTCCAAGCCCCCTCCCTCAGACGCCCCCTAAAGTAAAACTCACCCAGTATAGCAAGAAAACTAAAAAACATAACTAGGCATCTATCCAATGTCCAATAGTTCACCGGAATTTTTAGTATGAAAAGCTATGCACCTAATTTCATCAAATGAAAAAACAAAAAAAAAAACACAGTGCAATACATTCCTAGAGTCGCCTAACACGGTTAACTCTTTAACTAACAAGCAACTTTGTAATACTAATTGATATTGTCGCTTGAGCGTCACTTTGGATAAGGAACGGAGCTGTGTTGGTTGGTTGAAGTTAGAGGATCAATTATTGTAAGAAACAGTCAGAGAGATGTGGCGATTTGCACTTTTGTTGTTGATCCAGACAGGTTGCACTTCAGTTGTAACAGATGTGTCCTTCGACTACAATGCTTCACATGAATTGCGGCCACCATGGACAAGAGCTCTTTACATTTATCAGGTGAAGCACACTCTAGGGAAGCTATACTAGATAGCTCATTTACCAATGCATTCGTGTGTTGAACCTTAGGAAGCGGAGAGCATATCGAAGACACCATTGCTAGCATCACATCAACAATTGAGCAAATGGCTTCTTTTGAATATCTGCCTTAGACCATCAACAACATGTAGGCGAGTAGTGCTAGCCTCCAAAGCACATATAGCAGCTCTTCATCAATGTGATCCCAACTTTCCAAAATAGGAACTTATTGCTTGAAGATGGAATACAACTTCAAATTGAGCATTAATAAAGGTAGTTCTGTCGTTCTTTTTTATCTAACAGAATGACGTAACTTTGAAGTAGACAAATATGCATTATATAGGGTACTCTCAGCATTTTCCTTGTGTACATAACAAGCTATCTCTGCTCTTGCATTAATGAAGCACCATTGCAGGTGCCGATTATACAATAGCCTCAACTCAAGTGCATCAGCAACCCAATTCTCACCCACCTTCCCTTTCCTGATTATATATTAGCCGCAAAGCTCAAAGTCGAAATAGGTGTGCCATTCAATGTATTGGTCAATTTTAGACACATCACTCGTTTTGGTTCTGGTTGGACTTGACATCCCCCTCAGAGGATAATTAGGTGTCATAGGTACTAGGAGAAGCAGGTCGAAGATTAACACAATTTTATAAGATTTACAAAATTTTGTAAGATTAACACAATTTTATAAGATTAAACAATTTTATAATCATTAAAATGAAAACTATACGCGATTTTGAATCTGGCAAATCAATTTAAAGTTCAGAGGACAGAACTATCTAACTAGTAATTGGTGATGAATTTTAAATTTTTCTTTTACTAAGAAACAAAAAATTTATGAGTTCAATCAATTATCTGAAAGTAAAAGAAGAAGAATGAAGAGAAGAACTCACGGCAATCCTGAGATAAATCTTCAAGCAAGCCTCCCGCTGCCGCACTCCTTCGTGTGTATGTCGAGGAGAAGACAACGCTCGTGGATATCCGCCCCTAAGTTTACCGACAAACTCCCTCAGGCTCCAATGAATTCTAGAGTCACCTAGAGTGTGGGATTGAAGCCATGAATTCCACCTATAGCTCTTCTGATTTACTTCTGAATGATCATTTCCCGTGAGGGATCGATCGATCCTAGAAAGTGTGTCGCGACCTACAAACTCAACGCTCCGATTGCTACATGTCAAAGCTAAGATGTGACCCCGTTTCTCCATATATTACGTCGTCCACTCCAGCGAGAACACTTTGGAAGATGAACCAACATACTAAGATGTGGAGCTCAGCGGAGGGCGGCGGTTTCTTGTATGTGGTAAAATGAAAGGGAGACGGGAGTGGGGGAGCGGAGAGTTTAAAAGTGAAATAAAAAATACTCCCTCCATCCCAATATAAAAGGCACACTTTCCTTTTCGGTCCGTCCCAATATAAAAGGCACATATTCCTTTTTGGCAAACAAAACAGTGCAAAACAGTGTCAAACAGTGCCAAACAGTGTCCAAACAGTGCCAAACAGTGTCAAACAGTGTTCAAACAGTGTTCACCCTTAAAAACTCCCCAAACGCAAATGTGTCTTTTATATTGGGACGGAGGGAGTAAAATTGAAAAGAGAAAACACTTGACACATAAATGATACTCCCTCCGTATCACATATATCTTCCCACTTCCAAAGTGGGTGAGATTAAGAATAGTGAAATGGGGTATGAATTATTGAGGGTATGATGGGAAGATGGTGAAATAATGTGATGGAATGAAGGATAAATCCAAAAAAAGTAGGTGTAATAGTGTATTATTTTTTAAATTATATATTGAGGGTATGATGAGAAGATTTAGAAATAGGAAGATATAAATGTTACGTCCAAAAAAGAAAAGTGAGGAGATATGAATGTTACGGAGGGAGTACGATAGTATATGGCTTATAAAAGAAGATCATAGGGGTAATTTCCACTTTAAAAAATCATCATATACCCTTGTACATTTCCAAACCCAATCTAGGAAATCTGAATAGACTAAGAGAGTGTTTGCAATTGTTTTTTCTTAAAAAAAACATTTCTTAAAGTGATTCTGAAAAAGGTGCATAATAATAAAAGTTGATAGTGTTTGAAAAATTGATCTTGAAAAATAAAAGTTAGCAGTGTTTGGCAAAATATGTGCTTTTTGTGTCATAGAAAAAGTTAAAAGCAGAATCTAACTTTTAGTTTTTAAGTGTTTAGCTTAAGTAGTAGTTGTCACCTGGAAGCACTCTTTTTAACTTTTTAAGTCAAAAGCTGAAAATCGCTTTTTTTTAAGTTTTTGCGAATATACCTTAACATCCTGTACAGACCAAATACGCCTATTTGACAAGTACTAGATTCTCACCCGTGCGATGCACGGGACAAAATTAAATAAATTTGTATCATATTATCATATCCGTCCCACTAATATTGAGAGGTAAGAAGATGACACAATTATTTAAAAAATGAGTTTATGTGGTTGATGTTAATTCATAAAGTAAGAATGATTTGGAGTGGTACAGACTTTAACAAATTTGATGTGGGACAATTTTAGTAGGATTTTCCGAAAAATAAAAATGAGACAATATTCGCAAGACGAAGAGAGTATACTTGTTAATAATATCAGCCAATGAAAGCTTTATGTAAATAAAATGAGTAAATGCAAATAAAAGAGAATAAGATTTACTCGTAATACAGAGTATTTCGTATATAATTAAAGCTTGTAGACAATAATCTTTGAAGAAGATAAACTGAATATTACAATGACCTTATAAAAGTCGATTTTGAAACATTTTTTTTAAATACATTAAGCGTGTTTTTACTTTGACAGAAATTTTCTGATTTGTGTTGGTCTGAACTGGTAAGTATCTGATATCTGTGTATTCTATAACTATCCATGTTTGGTTTAGCCCGATCCGATCTAGAACTGAAAACAATTCAAATAAAAACATCCTAATATAGTTTGGTACATTTATTTGTCATTCCCAAGTAAAAATATCCTTATTATACCATATACTATTTCATACGTAGTATTGTTTAGTTGGATGTATTATTTTATCGCTTTTGTTTCTAAACATGAGAATGAAATCATAATTATGTCAACAATATAAATAATAATAGCAATAATAATCACTTCGTTGCTTTGAATATTGATTTTTTATAGGATGTTTTTATGTGGAATGAAATTTTTGGTTTGTTCTGATCTGATCTGGAGTGTTTTGATCTGAACTGGTTTGGTCTGGTAAGTGTCTAATCTGTTTGTATTTTACAACCGTCAAAGTTTGGTCTTGTATGATTTGGTCTGGTCTGATCAGGGACTAAAAATAGTCCTAATAAAAACATTCCAAGATATTTTGAACAATTAAAGCATTATTATTATTATTATTATTATTATTATTATTATTATTATTATTATTATTATTATTATTATTATTATTATTATTATTATTATTATTATTATTATTATTATTATTATTATTATTATTATTATTATTATTATTATTATTATTATTATTATTATTATTATTATTATTATTATTATTATTATTATTATTATTATTATTATTATTATTATTATTATTATTATTATTATTATTATTATTATTATTATTATTATTATTATTATTATTATTATTATTATTATTATTATTATTATTATTATTATAAGCAACAACTTAAATACTCCATAATTACAATTCAAAACTGAAATGTGAATAAAAAACAATTAAAATAATAAACTCCTTAGTACGGAGTACTAAGAGGTGTTTGAATCTGTTTCTTAAAACCGCTTCTGCTCTAATTTACTCCTAGAATCAATTTTTTAGAAGTTAGGGGAGACCAGCTTCTAAAAACTGATTCTGATTCTGCTTTAAAATAGAAGCAGTAACAGAATCAATTCCAAACACCCCCTAATTAACCATCATTCTTCATAACCGAGACCAAATTTTTTGTCAGCCCATATGTAAAGCCCAACCCAACTAACATTCAACCCACCCAAAAGCTAAAACCTAACTACACCGTATATAAGATTGTGTTTTGCATCAGCCTCTTCATCCATCCATCCGTACACTCTGTTGACGTTAATCCCCTAACCTCTCGTTTCGTAAATCTTTATGTCGATTTTTGTCAGTATCCATAAGACCCCTTCTCAATGCTTTGTAGCTATGGTCTATATATGATTACTAACCCCTTATCCGACTATTTCACTGGTTGATTTTTTCGCTGGTAGCTTAACCCCTTATATGAACCCTTATCCGACTATTCCGAACTTCATGGTGGCCGAGAACAGATCGAATGATCTCATACATGTTGTTGTCCCCTCTTCATTTGGGTATATTTATTTCATTTATGTCTTCAATTTTGAAATTTTCTGCACGCTTAACACATACAGTCACACACTCGCTCATTTTTTTTGCTCAAAAAATATTTTCTTTTAGATAAAATTGAAGCACTAAATAATACGTTGTAGATGAAAATCTCTCACACACACACATTTGTATATATTACTATGTATATTATATATGTATAGAAATCCTAAGAATCGTTCCAGCCCTAGATACTTAAAAATGGTTTCCAAAGTTACTTTGACCTCTGTTTTTAGTAACTCCTCTAATGCAAACTCATATTCGGATTTATTTGAAATTGTTGTCATTTTTGTGCTTTAATTGATTAATTGATTTCTGGCTCAGTATAGTATATATGCATAGCATAAATCACATCCCCATACTATCATCTGAAACCAATGAGATAAGCAATACAGAAATGTCATACACATAGAGATTGTGTATCTTATGCTCGGGATAAGATCTCTAAAATTATACAGAGCATGGTTTTAAACTATAACTCTTTATAAAGCCACACTCTATCTGATTTTCAAGTAATTTTTTTTAATATAACCTGCTATGGATATGAAATCTGGAATTTTAAAAAAGCTTAGTGATGTGGAATTTTTAAGCCACACTCTGTTAAACTAATATTTTTATAAGCTAAAGGGTCAAATAGGTACATGAACTAACTTAAAGTGTTCAATTAGCCCCTTATATAGGAGGTTCTGCTCGGCCGTCGCATATTGGGGCGGTTCCCGGTAGAATTTTTTGATGAAATGTTTTGAGCATGTTCTTCATTCAGTCTAGTTTATCCATACCAAATTTCAGTTAAAAATTAAATCGGGAAGGCAGTCAAATGATTTTCCAAAATGTACTGCGATGTTTAACTGCACAGTTATCTTCAAAAAAACATTTGACTGCCTTCCCGGTTGAATTGTTAGCTGAAATTTGGTACGGGTAAACTAGACTTAATGAAGAACATGCTCAAAAAAATTCATCAAAAAATTCCACCGGGAACCGCCCCAATTGGCGACGTTCGGGCAGAACCTCTTATATAAGGGGCTAATTGAACACTTTAATTTAGTTCATGTACCTATTTGACCCTTTAGCCTATTTTTATATAAACTGAATAAATCGTAAATTTTGAAACTGTTTTTTTAAAGCTTAGAACTTCTATTTATGTAGCTTCTATACATTTTTAGGAAATATTTTCTGTATAAATATTATATACGTAGTATTATTTATATGATATGCAATCATTTGAATTATTTTTGTTAAACAATCTATATATGAAGCACACTTTCATGTATACTCCTTCGTATCAGATATATCTTCCCACTTCCAAAGTGGGTGAGATTAAGAATAGTGAAATGGAGTATGAATTATTGAGGGTATGATGGGAAGATGGTGAAATAATGTGGTGGAATGAAGGATAAATCCAAAAAAAGTAGGTGTAGTAGTGTATTATTTTTTAAATTATTGAGAGTATGATGGGAAGATTTAGAAATGGGAAGATATAAATGTTACGTCCAAAAAAGGAAAGTGGGAAGATATGAATGTTACAGAGGGAGTACGTATATACTCCGTAAATAATTTGTGTTTACATATGTATAAACATAGCTTCACATTACATGCATTATGGAATACTTTTTTCCAAAAAAAAACATTTGAGTGGTAATACATGCAAGAAGATGAACGCAGCTGGATTAGGTAGGGATGTGGTGTGGTTTTCTCACAGTTCGGTGGTTATCAAGGATCAGAAAGTTTCTTATACCAAGCACTCCATGTTCTATTATTTTTGACTTCTTGTGGTCTTTTACTTCAGCATGGATCCAACTCCCAAAAAACATTTGATTGTTAAGATACAATTAAAACAGATGAATAAATATATAATGCGTGTATTAAGCATTTTTATAAGAGAGTGTTACCTTCTCAAGTTTTGTGAGCTCTTGCCTTTTACTCAGTTGAGGTGTCTGCCATTGCA